TTGATGGGGTTGGAAGAGTTCTATTCCCTAAGCCCGGCCCGAGGCCAGGCTTGACTTGTGAAATGAACAAATCCACAAGGGCCGTGACGAGGATTCGAACATGCGTCCGGGAGCATCCCAGACACTGCCTTAATCGACTGAGCTACGACAGGGTAAAAGGGTTGAAACCAAAGTTCTACTGAACTTACTGGATCCCGTATAGCCTCTCCGAGGCACAAACCAGGCTTTTACACAACCCCCCCCCCCCTGCACCCGAGCTATGTCAATAGGCCGTTCTCCCTCTTCGCCCTTACATCATCACACGCATTAAGGCAGTCTCTGGGATGCTCCCGGACGCAGGTTCGAATCCTCGTCACGGCCCTTGTGGATTTGTTCATTTGATGTATCACGTTAGTGTGATCTCTGTGTGTGTTGACTTGTGAAAGTTTGGTCCACCAGGCAGTTGCTTGGAGCGGCCCGCAGGCCCACATACCCACCTCAGCCCGGTTGGTCCGGCACTCCTTGAAGAAAACTATCTAGTTCTCTCTTGAAGATGTCCACGGTTGTTCCGGCAATATTTCTTATGCTCACTGTGAGTATGGTGAACAACCGTGGACCACTGATGCTTATACAGTGTTCTCTGATTGTGCCTATGGCACCCCCTGCTCTTCACTGGTTCTATTCAGCATTCAGCATTTTCTTCCATATCGTTTACTCCAGTACGTTGTTATTTTACTGTGTAGATTTGGGACCTGGCCCTTCAGTATTTTCCACGTGTATATTATTTGATATCTCTCTCGTCGTCTTTCTAGCGAGTACATTTGGAGAGCTTTGAGATGATCCCAATAATTGAAGTGCTTTATCGTGTCTATGCGTGCCGTAGTCCATTCTCTCCAGACGTGCTACTAGGTTCTCCTCAAAATTTTCTCCATCACCTTGCATGGTATACAAGGTAGGGACACTGGCCTGTAGTTCAGTGACTCTTGCCTGTCACCCTTTTTGTATATTGGGACTACATTAACCGTCTTCCATATTTATGTGTGTGTGTGTGTGTATGTGTACTCACCTATTTGTGCTTACAGGGGATTGAGCTCTGGCTCTTTGGTCCCGCCTCTCAACTGTCAATTAACTGGTGTACAGGTTCCTGAGCTTATTGGGCTCTATCATATCTACACTTGCAACTGTGTATTTAGTCAGCCTTCACCACATTACTTCCTAATGCATTCCATTTGGCTACTACTCTCACCACAACCACACACACACGTGTGCGTGTGTGTGTGTGTGTGTGTGTGTGTGTGTGTGTGTGTGTGTGTGTGTGTGTGTGTGTGTGTGTGTGTGTGTGTGTGTGTGTGTGTGTGTGTGTGTGTGTGTGTGTGTGTGTGTGTGTGTGTGTGTGTGTGTGTGTGTGTGTGTGTGTGTATGGGTGTGTGGGTGTGTGTGTGTGGATGCTTTTCAAGTATTAAATTTATATTGTCTTCTTTCCATAGGTGAGATGGCGAAAGAGGTGATAGTGTCCGCCTTGTGTGGTGATGTCACATGGTACTGTGTGGTAACTTCACATGGTACTGTGTGGTAACGTCACATGGTACTGTGTGGTAACGTCACATGGTACTGTGTGGAAACGTCACATGGTACTGTGTGGTAACGTCACATGGTACTGTGTGGTAACGTCACATGGTACTGTGTGGTAACGTCACATGGTACTGTGTGGTAACGTCACATGGTACTGTGTGGTAACGTCACATGGTACTGTGTGGTAACGTCACATGGTACTGTGTGCTAACGTCACATGGTACTGTGTGGTAACGTCACATGGTATTGTGTTATAACGTCACATGGTACTGTGTGGTAACGTCACATGGTACTGTGTAGTAACGTCACATGGTACTGTGTGGTAACGTCACATGGTACTGTGTGGTGGCGTCACTTGGTACTGTGGTGACGTCACTTGGTACTGTAGTGACGTCACTTGGTACTGTAGTGACGTCACTTGGTGCTGTGTGGTGACATCACATGGTACTGTGTGGTAACGTCACATGATACTGTGTGGTGACGTCACATAGTGCTATGTGGTGACGTCACATGGTACTGTGTAATGACGTCACATGATACTGTGTGGTGACGTCACATGGTACTATGTAATGACGTCACTTGGCACTTTGTGGTAACGTCACATGGTACAGTGTGGTGACGTCACATGGTTCTGTGTAGTGACGTCACATGGTACTGAGTGGTGACGTCACATGGTACTGTGTGGTGACGTCACATGAAACTGTGTGGTGACGTCACATGGTACTGTGTAGTGACGTTAATTGGTACTGTGGTGACATCACATGGTACTGTGTGGTGACGTCACATGGTACTGTGTAGTAACGTTATTTGGTACTGTGGTAACGCCACTTGGTACTGTGTGGTGACGTCACATAGTACTGTGGTGACATCACATAGTACTATGTGGTGACGTCACATAGATCACTCACGACCAGCAAACTTCGTCGTGCCTATCGTGAAGGTCGGTGTCAGCCCCTCAGTGTGTAGTGAAGGTCAGTGTCAGCCCCTCAGTGTGTAGTGAAGGTCAGTGTCAGCCCCTCAGTGTGTAGTGAAGGTCAGTGTCAGCCCCTCAGTGTGTAGTGAAGGTCAGTGTCAGCCACTCAGTGTGTAGTGAAGGTCAGTGTCAGCCCCTCAGTGTGTAGTGAAGGTCTGTGTCAGCCCCTCATTGTGTCGTGAAGGTCAGTGTCAGCCACTCAGTGTGTCGTGAAGGTCAGTGTCAGCCACTCAGTGTGTCGTGAAGGTCAGTGTCAGCCCCTCAGTGTGTCGTGAAGGTCAGTGTCAGCTCCTCAATGTGTCGTGAAGGTCAGTGTCAGCCCCTCAATGTGTCGTGAAGGTCAGTGTCAGCTCCTCAGTGTGTCGTGAAGGTCAGTGCCAGCTCCTCAGTGTGTCGTGAAGGTCAGTGTCAGCCACTCAGTGTGTCGTGAAGGTCAGTGTCAGCCCCTCAATGTGTCGTGAAGGTCAGTGTCAGCCCCTCAGTGTGTCTTGAAGGTCAGTGTCAGCCACTCAGTGTGTCGTGAAGGTCAGTGTCAGCCCCTCAGTGTGTCGTGAAGGTCAGTGTCAGCTCCTCAGTGTGTCGTGAAGGTCAGTGCCAGCTCCTCAGTGTGTCGTGAAGGTCAGTGTCAGCCACTCAGTGTGTCGTGAAGGTCAGTGTCAGCCCCTCAATGTGTCGTGAAGGTCAGTGTCAGCCCCTCAGTGTGTCTTGAAGGTCAGTGTCAGCCACTCAGTGTGTCGTGAAGGTCAGTGTCAGCCCCTCAGTGTGTCTTGAAGGTCAGTGTCATCCTCTCAGTGTGTCGTGAAGGTCTGTGTCAGCCCCTCAGTGTGTCGTGAAGGTCAGTGTCAGCCACTCAGTGTATCGTGAAGGTCAGTGTCAGCCACTCAGTGTGTCGTGAAGGTCAGTGTCAGCCACTCAGTGTGTCGTGAAGATCAGTGTCAGCCCCTCAGTGTGTCAAGGTCAGTGTCAGCCCCTCAGTGTGTCGTGAAGGTCAGTGTCAGCCCCTCAGTGAATGAGAGGAAATGCTATGATCTCCATTGCCCCGATTTCCTCGTGAGAGGTACACAGCGCTATATATGAGAGGAAGTCCAATATAATAGCCCGGGAATTTTTTAGAGGCAGGCAGAACCAGAGGGAGGAACAGACAGGCAGACACGTTGCAGGAGTACGGATGGAGAGAGGAAAATGCCCAAAACTGGACTACGTTTCGTCATCAAGCCCACACACACTACACCCCCCAACTACACAGAGACTACCACACTCCCCAGTACCAACTCCAAATCTGGACAAACCATTGCCACAACAACACACCCTGGGTCAAGGTAGAGAGGAGGGAGAACTACCAAAACCTTCCAGAAGTGACACACAATATGGACAATCATTCATATTTGCAAACATTCAAGGTCTAAAGGCAGTCAAGAAATAAAGTTAAGTTCATAAATGGCCTCATACGAAATTTCATAAATGGCCTCATACGAAATTTCATAAATGGCCTCATACGAAATTTCATAAATGGCCTCATACGAAAGATTACATGGATAGTGAAATCTGGATTCCAAATTATAATTTTTATAGATGTGATAGAGAAACTAGGTGAAATTGAGGAGTAGGTCTGTATGTTAAAGAGGACCTTGTATCCACAAAGCTACTAAACTAAACCAATGAGGTGGTAGAGGTACTTGGAATTAAGGTAGAAAAAGTAAACCTAATTATTATTCTAATATATAAACCGTCAGACACAACGGTTGAGGAACTCAAAGAGCAGATGCACAAAATAGAGAATATCGTTGATAATCTAGCGAACCCAGCACCAGATATCATCTTCCTTGGAGATTTCAATTTACCAAGTCTAAGATGGAGAATGACAAACACAAATATCATAGCAGGGAATGACCCGGGAAATAACCAACCACAGGTCAGAGAACTTTTGAGATTCTGTGAAAAATTCTCGCTCAATCAACAGATCACACAACCAACTAGGAACGAAAAACACTTGACTTGTTATTCACAAACAATGATGAACTAATCAGAGACATTATAATATCTGATACTACATACTTAGACCATAGGCTCATTGAAGTGCGAAGTAGCATAAATAACGGTAGTAGGTCTAAGAGACCCAACAAGCGAGAAGGGATATTCAATCAATTCAATTTCAACAATAAGAGGATCGACTGGGGGTAATTAAATGTAAACCTTGCAAACATTCAATAGGAGGCGGTCTTAGTACACAACTCCCACTCAGGGAATAGCTCAACTGACGGCTGAAGCATACAAGGTCTGCTTGAAGCACGTGCCTGTGAGGAGGGGCAGAAAGAGGACCACTCTAGAAAGAGAACGCAGACGACTGTACAGGAGAAGTAAAAAAATAACGGAAATGCTTAGACAGACACAACTATCACAAGAATGGAAAATAAACCTAAACCGGGAGATCGAAGAAATAGAACAAACATAGAAGCGATCATACGAGTCTGAGGAAATGGAACTGGAACATAAAGCTATACAAGAGATAAAGTAAATTACGAAATATTTTTTCACATACGCAAAATTAAAGTCAAAATCCTCCACTAGTATTGGACATTTAATTACAAATGAAGGTACGTACACAGAGGACAACAAAGAAATTAGTGAAATTCTAAGAAGCCAGTATGAGGCTATGTTTAGCACACCAATAAACAACATGAAAGTTGATGACCCAGACAGCTTGTTTATGAATGATATTAAAGCTGCATATAATGGATATTAACACGAACTCGGAAGACTTTGAAAGAGAAATTGACAATGTGCCCATGCATTCAACTCCTTGGCCGGACTCGTGGAATTCAATATTCATTAAGAAATGTAAAGTACCAGTAGCGCGAGCGCTCAGCATAATATGAAGAAAGAGCCTGGATACAGGGGAGATGCCAGCTGCACTTAAATCTGCAGACATAGCTCCTCTGCACAAGGGCGCCTTGCCAAAAAACTATTGACCAGTTGCAGTAACATCGTATATAATAAAAGTTTTTGAAAGAGTGATTAGAAATAAAATTTCTAGTTTTATGGAAAATAATGAGTTACACAACACAGGACAACATGGATTTAGAACGGGAAGATCCTGTCTGTCACAGTTACTCAACCACTATGACAAAATCACAGAAGCTCTAGAAGAAAAGCAAACTGCAGCTCTAATATACACAGATTTTGCAAAGGCATTAGACAAAAGTGACCATGGAGTGATAGGACACAAAATGATGTCAATGGGAATAACTGGTAAAGTAGGAATCTGGATACTCAATTTCCTGTGGAACAGAACACAAAGAGTAACAATCAAATAAAATCGAGCCCAAGCGCAGTTAAAAGCTCTGCACCTGAAGGTACAGTCGTTACACTACTGCTTTTCCTTATTCTCATATCAGATATAGACAAAAATACAAGTCACAGCTTCGTGTCATCCTTTGCAGATGACACAAAAAACAACATGAAAATTACCTCTGCGGAAGACATTGAAAAACTACGAGCAAGTATCAACAAAGATTTCGATTGAGCAGCAAAAAATAACATGATGTTGAACAGTGATAAATTTCAGGTACTCGGGTACGGCAAAAATGAGGATCTGAAACATAATACAGGGTACATAACACAATCGAATCTTCCCATAGTAGGAAAATACCATGTCAAGAATTTGGGAATAATGATGTCCGACGACCTAACGTTTAGGGAGTATAACCAAGCAAATATTGCGTCAGCCAGAAAAATGATAGGATGGATTACGAGAACTTTCAAATCCAGGGATCCCATCACAATGGTTGTACTCTTCAAATCACTTGTGTTGTCCCGTCTTGAGTACTGCTCAGTACTCACTTTCCCCTCCAGAGCAGGAGAGATTGCTGAAATAAAGGGAATACGGAGAACATATACGGCACGCATAGACGCGACAAAGCACCTAAATTATTGGGATCGTCTCAAAGCCCTCCAAATGTACTCACTAGAAAGGAGACGAGAGAGATATCAAATAATATACACATGGAAAATACTGCAGGGCCAGGTCCCAAATCTACACAGTAAAATAACAACGTACTGGAGTGAACGATATGGAAGAAAATGCAGAATAGAACCAATGAAGAGCAGAGGTGCCATAGGCACAATCAGAGAACACTGTATAAACATCAAAGGTCCACGATTGTTCAACACCCTCCAAGCGGGCATAAGAAATATTGCCGGAATAACTGTTGACATCTTCAAGAGGAAACTAGACGGTTTGCTAAAAAACGTGCCGGACCAACCGGGCTGTGGTGGGTATGTGGGCCTGCGGGCCGCTCCAAGCAACAGCCTGGTGAACCACGCTCTTACAAATTAAGCCTCAAGCCGGGCCTGGGGAGTAGAAGAACTCCCAGAACCACATCAGGCAGGTATGAAGCAAGCAGCAGCCCACACTCTTCCAGTAGTCCACACTCCCCCAGCAGCCCACACTCTTCCAGTAGTCCACACTCCCCCAGCAGCCCACACTCTTCCAGTAGTCCACACTCCCCCAGCAGCCCACACTCTTCCAGTAGTCTACACTCCCCCAGCAGCCCACACTCTTCCAGTAGTCCACACTCCCCCAGCAGCCCACACTCTTCCAGTAGTCTACACTCCCCCAGCAGCCCACACTCTTCCAGTAGTCCACACTCCCTCAGCAGCCCACACTCTTCCAGTAGTCCACACTCCCCCAGCAGCCCACACTCTTCCAGTAGTCCACACTCCCCCAGCAGCCCACACTCCCCCAGTAGCCCACACTCCCCCAGTAGCCCACACTCCCCCCGCAGCCCACACTCCCCCAGTAGCCCACACTCCCCCAGTAGCCCACACTCCCCCAGCAGCCCACACTCTTCCAGTAGTCCACACTCCCCCAGCAGCCCACACTCCCCCAGTAGACCACACTCCCCCAGTAGCCCACACTCCCCCAGCAGCCCACACTCCCCCAGTAGCCCACACTCCCCCAGTAGCCCACACTCCCCCAGCAGCCCACACTCTTCCAGTAGTCCACACTCCCCCAGCAGCCCACACTCTTCCAGTAGTCCACACTCCCCCAGCAGCCCACACTCTTCCAGTAGTCTACACTCCCCCAGCAGCCCACACTCTTCCAGTAGTCCACACTCCCCCAGCAGCCCACACTCTTCCAGTAGTCTACACTCCCCCAGCAGCCCACACTCTTCCAGTAGTCCACACTCCCTCAGCAGCCCACACTCTTCCAGTAGTCCACACTCCCCCAGCAGCCCACACTCTTCCAGTAGTCCACACTCCCCCAGCAGCCCACACTCCCCCAGTAGCCCACACTCCCCCAGTAGCCCACACTCCCCCAGCAGCCCACACTCCCCCAGTAGCCCACACTCCCCCAGTAGCCCACACTCCCCCAGCAGCCCACACTCTTCCAGTAGTCCACACTCCCTCAGCAGCCCACACTCTTCCAGTAGTCCACACTCCCTCAGCAGCCCACACTCCCCCAGCAGCCCACACTCTTCCAGTAGTCCACACTCCCCCAGCAGCCCACACTCTTCCAGTAGTCCACACTCCCCCAGCAGCCCACACTCCCCCAGTAGCCCACACTCCCCCAGTAGCCCACACTCCCCCAGCAGCCCACACTCCCCCAGTAGCCCACACTCTTCCAGTAGTCCACACTCCCCCAGCAGCCCACACTCCCCCAGCAGCCCACACTCTGCCAGTAGTCCACACTCCCCCAGCAGCCCACACTCTTCCAGTAGTCTACACTCCCCCAGCAGCCCACACTCCCCCAGTAGCCCACACTCCCCCAGTAGCCCACACTCCCCCAGCAGCCCACACTCCCCCAGTAGCCCACACTCCCCCAGCAGCCCACACTCCCCCAGTAGCACCTCTTACGACCTGCTGTGTTTATGGTCAAGATAAGAACCTTCGGCTTCACCAAATTGTGGACGTAATGGGTCTGAGTGCTGCTCCGGTAGCGTATATGTGGTGTTGCACCCTGTGTGTTGTCTCGTGTGTTGCACCCTGTGTGCTGTCTCGTGTGTTGCACCCTGTGTGTTGTCTCGTGTGTTGCACCCTGTGTGTTGTCTCGTGTGTTGCACCCTGTGTGCTGTCTCGTGTGTTGCACCCTGTGTGTTGTCTCGTGTGTTGCACCCTGTGTGTTGTCTCGTGTGTTGCACCCTGTGTGCTGTCTCGTGTATTGCACCCTGTGTGCTGACTCGTGTGTAGCACCCTGTGTGCTGTCTCATGTGTGGCACCCTGTGTGCTGTGTCATGTGTAGCACCCTGTATGCTGTATCGTGTGTTGCCCCCTGTGTGCTGTGTCATGTGTTGCACCCTGTGTGCAGGCTCATGTGTTACACCCTGTGTGCAGGTTCATGTGTTACACCCTATGTGCTGTCTCGTGTGTTACACCCTATGTGCTGTCTCGTGTGTTGTACCTTGTTTGCTGCCTCGTGTAGCACCCTGTGTGCTGTCTCATGTGTAGCACCCTGTATGCTGTATCGTGTGTTTCCCCCCTGTGTGCTGTGTCTTGTGTTGCACCCTGTGTGCTGTCTCATGTGTAGCACCCTGTGTGCTGTCTCATGTGTTACACACTATGTGCTGTCTCGTGTATTTTACCCTGTGTTCTGTCTCATGTGTTACATCCTATGTGCTGTCTCGTGTGTTGTACCTTGTGTGCTGCCTCGTGTATTGTACCCTGTGTGCTGTCTCGTGTGTTGTACCCTATGTGCTGTCTCGTGTGTTGTACCCTGTGTGCTGCCTTATGTATTCATCTAGTTGTATTCAGCTAGTTGTGCTTGCGGGTTTTGAGCTCTGCTCTTTCGGCGCGTCTCTCAACCCTCAATCAGTCAACTGTTACTGACTACTAACTATTTTTTTCTTCACACACACACACACACACGTGCGCGCGCGCACACACACACACACACACACACACACACACACACACACACACACACACACACACACACACACACATACACATACACATACACATACACACATACACACACACACACACACACACACAAACACACTCACACACACACACACACACATACACGCACTCACACACACAGTGGGGTGCCGCTGGCTGTGTGGATAGCACGCTGGGCACGTGATCCTGTGGCCAGGGTTCGATTTCCGGCACTGGCGAGAAACGACGGGCAGAGCATCTCTCACCCTGATGCCTTTGTTACCTAGCAGTAAATAGGTACCTAGGAGTTAGTCAGCTGTCACGGGCTCCTTCTAGGGGTGTGTTTGTGTGTGTGTGGTGTGGATAAAAATAGTAGTTAGTAACAGTTGATTGATAGTTTAGAGGCGGGCCCAAAGAGCAGAGCTCAACCCCCGCAAGCACAACTAGGTGAATACACAGAAATCGCCCTTAACAGGTATCTAACTCCCAGGTACCTATTTACTGCTAGTAACTGGGGACATCAGGGTGAAAGACACTCTGCCCATCTGTTTCCGCCGGCGACAGGAATCGAACCCCGGTCCACATGACTATGTATCAAACGAACGTATCAAGCGAACAACGTATCGTGTGTTGCACCCTGTGTGCTGTCTCGTGTTGCATATCCTGTGTGCTGCATGGTTTGTTGCCTGTACTCACTAAATTGTACTCACCAAATTGTACTCACCAAATTGTACTCACCTAAATGTGCTTGTAGGGTTTGAGCTTTAGCTCTTTGTTCCCGCCTCTCAACATTGAGTCAACTGATATACAGGTTCCTGAGCCTATTAGGCTCAGTCATATCTATATATGAAACTGCATGGAGTCTGCTTCCACTACATCTCTGCCAAATGCTTTCCATTTGTTAACTACTCTAGCACCGAAAAAAATTCTAATATCTCTGTGGGTCATTTGGGTACTTAATTTTCATCTGTGTTCCCTTCTGCGAGTACTACCTGTGTTAAATAATCTGTCTTTATCTCCTCTGTCAATTCCCATGTCAATTCCCCCTGAGAATTTTGTATGTAGTGATCATGTCTTCCCGAAATCTTCTGTCTACCTGCGATGTGAGGAGCAATTGACACAGCCTTTCATCGTAACTCATACCTTATAGTTATGGGACAAGTCTAGTGGTATACCTTCGAACCTTCTCCAACTTTATACCGAAAGTTTCCCTTTCGGTATACCCGCCTTTTGTCTTGTGGTCCCTTCCTTCGGTAAGTTATCCCTACGTCGTCTACTTGGTACTCAAACATCAAAATACTGAGATCAATCATTCCCTCCCAGGCTTCGAAGTTGGTTTCCATTATGTTTTAATTTTTCAAATTAAATACCAGGTCAAGTCTAGCTGGATCGACGTTGCCTCTCATTCGTGTGGGCTCCCTGACAAGCTAGTTTAAAAAGTTTCTTGTTGCCACATCCAGTAGTTTAGCTTTTCATGTTTCTGCACAACATGTGGTCCTTTTGTTCTCCCAATCTATCTTTCCATGGTTGAAGTCTCTCATAATAAACAAACGTGATCGATTTATATAGGCGACATTGGCTGCCTTTTCAGTTATTGAATTAATTACCATATTACTGTCAAACTCTCTCTCATGAGTCATCTGTCATTTGTGGAGCAGCTACATATTACTACTACTACTATTCTTGATCCATCCTTTGTCATGGTGCCTGTTATGTAGTCTCTGGACCTCTCGCAGCTCTGGATAACCATCTCCTCGAAACTACATTCCTTTCATATCAGTAGGGTCACTCCTCATTCACTTCCTTCCTTCTCTTTCCTTAATACAAAACACCTCTGCATCTGTTATGATACCTGAGAGTTTTGCTTCACTGAGTACTATTGCATCCAGGTTGTCCTCTTGTGTTCTTTCCCCAAGTCAACTTGCTATATTTGTAAGTTTGAGTACAAACTTACAAACTATGTTTGAGTACATTACATTGAATCTGACTCTTCTGTGCAGTCTCAGCTACCTTTGATGTTCCTGGAATAATGGAGCAGGGAGGATCTGGATGGGAGGACAGGGAGGGTCTGGGGTGGGGGTGAGAGGCGCTTACGCACCTCTCTCAATGTTCTTTGAGTTCCTCTACCGACCGTTTACTATTCAATCACTATTACCCCATAGGTCTCGTTCCTTATTAGAGTCCTGTAATTCCTTTCCACATAATTTGTAAGTTGTGTGGACATTTTCTCCGATTCCACATCCCATAACATGGTATTTGTTTACATTGAACTCCATTTGTCACTTGTTGCTCTAAGCACTTATTTTATCTAGATCAATTTGAAGGGCATTCCAATCGTCTGCGTCTCATATCTTCCCCAGTATTTTAGCATCATCTGCGAACATGTTAATTTAATTCTGTATTCCTACTGGTAGATCGTTTATATAGACGATGAACGTTACTGGTGCAATAACTGAATCCTACTCCACTAGTAACACTCCTCCAGTCAGAAACATTGTCTGTGATTACTGCCCTCATCTGTTTGTCAGTTAGAAAATTTTTCATCTATGTCAGAAGTCTTCCCTGACACTTGTGTGGTACTCTATAAAAAGACGTTTTTTTAGGTCCAGATAAACACAGTCAACCTAACCACCTCTTTCTCTGTAGTATCTTTGTGGTTCTATCATAAAACTAAGAATATTTGTTATGCGACATCTTCCTGTTCGAAAACCATACTGTCTGTTCGTTATTACGTCAATACTCTCTAAGTGTTCAACCCATTTGGCTATAACCAATTTTTCTAATGTTTTGACTACACACTTGCTAATGATACAGGTCTATAATTTAGAGATTCTTCTCGACTACCATTTTTTATAGATTGGTTCCAAAGACCCTAGAGCAGGTAAGCTGGAGATGGAAGGTTGGGACGAGGATGCAGAAATCTTGAGCTAGGAACCGAAGGGGGGTCGAAGACTGGAGAAGATGATCGGTGGGCCAACCATCTTGTATAAGACTTGCAGCTGACGCTGAGGTTTGGTGGTAGTGTGGAACTCTCATGGCTGCTCTGGGACACAGGACTGGGCTCGCAAGCAGCTGGTAGTTGAAGGCAGTCGATGGTGGGTGTTGCTAGTCTTCTGGGTCTTCATTCTTCTTTAGGCATCGTTCTTCAGTCTTTAATAGTTGTCTTCAATCTTCAGTCTTTAATAGTTGTCTTCAATCTTCAGTCTTTAATAGTTGTCTTCAATATTCAATCGTTTTCTTCAGGCTTCAGTGCTCTTCTTCTTTGTTCTTCTTCTTTCTTCTTCCTCTTCTTCTTCTTTCTTCTTTCTTCTTCTTCTTCTTCTTTCTTCTTATTCCTAGTAGCTTTAAGCAAACTTGGATCACGATACTTCATGGGAATAACGGACGTTGTGACCGTTAGTGCTTGGTACTAAATTCCTTTGTACTTGGAAGAATGGTACTGTTTGCCTTGTTCCATATATCTGCTAAGATTCCTGTGCACAAGGATACCTGGAATATTAATTGGAGTGGAATGCTCAGCTCAGTTGCACCTTCTCGCAGCACCCAAGGTGAAACTCCATCAGGTCCAACCGCTTTATTTCTTCCTAACCCCTCCAGTAATTGTTCCACTTCATCTTGAGATACCTCTATGTCTTCTAAGGTATGGTCTGCTCTAGAATTAGTATTTAGTCCGGCTCTCTGAAATCTTCATTTTGTACAAACACACTTTGGAACTGTTCATTTATCATTTCACACATTTCTTTTTCATTCTCAGTAGTCCTGTTCCCCGTTCTCGATCTCTGGATTTTATCATTTACACGCAGCTTGCTTTTAATGAATTTATAGAAATGGCCTGGGGCCAGATTCACGAAAGCACTTACGCCAGCACTTGCGAACCTGTACATCTTTTCTCAATCTTTGGCGGCTTTGTTTACAATTATTAAACAGTTAATGAGCTCCGAAGCACCAGGAGGCTGTTTATAACAATAACAACAGTTGACTGGCAAGTTTTCATGCTTGTAAAA